TTTAAAAAAATGAATAATTAAATAAAAAAAATGAAAATATGCGTCTTTCAAAGAAGATAAAAAAAATAATTAGTTTTGGCCAGACTTAAATCTCAAAAAATAGAGCGCTTCATCTTCGAAAGACGTGGGGTGGGATTTTCGATGGACGGGAAAAAACCATTCAGAAGATATACCCTGAAAGAAAAAAACGCAAACGAAGAAACAGCACCGTGTTAATAATTGTATGAATTTAACAATTTATGAGGTTGAACTAGAATTTAATGTAATAAAATATTTATTCGAATGGAATAATATATTTTTAAAAAAAAGAATAATTAAAGAATTAATTTGAAATTTACAGAAAGGAACTTACCCCTCTTGATACTAATTAAACAAAATTATTAGAACTCATTGGCGATTCTAAAATTGTGATAAATTTCAATAAATGCACTTATTGTATTGTGATATTATAATAATATACAAATAATACTTTTTAAATTAGTAATTTTTTTAAAAACTTTATTAAATCGAAATATTTTCGTCATTTTTTTCATATATTATGTTAATTATTTTTACTTACATTTACTTATCAAAAAATATACCCTGAAAAAATAAATTTCGTTATTGATTTAAAATTAAAAAAAAAACATTCAATGTTCTTTTCTGTCAACTTCAAATTAAACTTTACACACTAATTATTTTTTTAAAAAATATTAAATTACTTTCGAAATAATTAATAATATAATTAAATTAAATTCGGGTTCAAAAGCCGGAAAGAAATCAGACATTAAATTTGTGCGATAAGTTAATAAGGTGCTTTTTTTAGTGCTTTTTATCAAGCTTTTTTTTGTCCAAACCTTTTTTCGCGATTCGAATTTCGGTGGTGAGTGAAGTTCGAGAAAATCGTTTGAAGATCACTCGAACCGTGATATTTTTTCAGTGATTCTCGTGATTCGAGAGAATTAATTATTAAAATAGAAATAAACCCAACTGAGTCCGTACTTTATTGTTTTACCTCAAGTTGGCACTAAAGGGAAAAGTAGGAAATGTAATACTACGCTTTTGAAAAGTAGTTCCTCGCTATTTCGGTATTAATTACAGTTTAAATGTGCTCAGAAATACAAATAAATGTCCGATAATAAGGAAAGTTTATCTTGAAACATGTACTAGAAGTTTTATCATGTTTAAATCTATTTAACTTATTAATACTTTCTCAGTAAAGCGAGTGTACAAAGAAGGAGGTATTTTAGTTTGACAATGAATTAGTTTCCGAGGACGAGGAGTTGGCCATGTTTTTGCACTGGTCAGCCAGCTCACATTGATTAATTGTTTTTGGTTTTTTTTTCGTTTAAAATTAGTTAAGAATATGTTTTTTAAAAATCATAAGAAAAATCTGTTTTTTAAAAATTATACGAAATCAGCTTACAATTAGTAAAATCAATTATTATTAGAAATGCTCTGAAAAAACCTTGTTCTTTTCTGTATTTTGTTCAAAATTTTAGTAAGATTCTTGGTAAAAAAAATCGTCACTTGGCTTTCTTTAACGCCAATATTAGCCACTTTCTAACCTTTTTTGCTACCTTATGCCCCTAACTAACTTTAAGAGCCACCCTGTTTCCATGACAACGGCTGCAATCCGGTCTACCTGCCTTTCTGTCCAGTGTCAACTTGAGGTGAAACGTAGTATAAATAGTTGTCAAAACATACCATACCTATGATTTTCAACCTGCTGTGTAGTATGAGAGTTCTTGACTTTTTCAAGTCCACCCTGCACTTGTAATACCCCTCGTCTTCTGGATTCACGGACTGGATGACCAGTACTGGTGGGTGGGTGTCGATGTTGAAGGATGTTCTGTTGGACGCAGGGAAATGCACAGCCGGTTTGTTTCGTACGTCCAAGGTGTAGATTGGATTGGGTTCACCCTGGCGGTACCACAGTATGAGAGACGCTTCACCCGCAGATAGTGGAGTTGGAATGTTGCAGGGAACCTTCACAGAATGTCCGATAACTGCTTCCACATTCGCTGAAAATAGTGGAGTTATCATTAGTTCATTAATATGACTAGATTAACTAGAATGACACCAAATGAC